ATGCCCTCCGAAATTAAAACGAAGAAAAAACTAACCAGAAATGATATTATCATATCGCGTGACTTGTTCCGGTTTCTCAGCTTCTGAATAATTCTTACGTAAGCGTTATGCTTGAGCGTTAGGCTTGATTACAAGCCGCTGTTCGGGAAAGGAGCCCGCGCTCCTCCGCACAGAGGACTGGCTTGATAGGGTGTGAGACGCGAATTTATGAATATTAAACAGTTGCTGTTGTTGTAGAAAAATTTGATATGTAGACCATTAGCAAGTGTAACTCTTACCCCATTTTTTTTTGCATATATGTGGAGGTTGCGTGACTCGCAACAAAACAGGAAGCAGTATCGTCACCAGACCAAACGAATAAGCTGCCGGCAAGGTCCACCATGAACTTGCAGAAAAAAAGAAATGGTACCCTGTGCCTTAGACCAACAGCTTCTATTTCTGTTGTAAGCTACCTAGTGATTTGTATTTGTTTGTAAAATACTTCTTATAGGGCTGACTGCAGCTACTACTGTTTATGGCAAGTGTATCCATATTGAGGCCTTTGAAAAGTTAATGGAAGGCTTTGACATATGGAACAACTTCACCCCTTCACTTGCACGAGGCACAAATTCTCATGATCACACTTACCAAGTAAGATGAATGTAATATTTACTTATAAATGCAGAATACATAAACATTGTATACATTCATTTTTCATAGTCCATCCTAATGATTAATTGGTTGGCGGCAAAATGCAGTGAAATTGTATAGCATAATTTTCTAAATCAAATAGCTTGTAGACTAGTATATTATTTTTATATGATCATGGTACATGTACATTTTACTGTATTCTTTGGGAAATCAGGATACAGTATTTTTTGTCAATTGCTTTAAATGTGATTATTCATCATGTACTTACTGACTGCTTAGCTAAGTTCACCTCTTTGTTTGCATTTCCACATACAGTTGATTACTGATTTTCTATAATTTCTTCTCTTGCACTATGTATTATCATGTAACATCCTGTTTTCTTCATGATTTGCTATTTCAGGATGAAAGTCATGAATTTTTGCCTTTAAATGGCACTAATTTTACCATGTTTGTACGTGGAAATAGAAAGCATGGTGTGGTTGGTCTCCAGGGTGCCCTGATCACTTGCTTTACCTGTGATCATCAGGTACATGCCTGTGAACATGGCACAAAAATTTTGGAATCTGAGGAAGTTTTGGAACACAAAATGCCTGATTTCCTAGTGGATTTTTTTTGCTGAGAAAAATTATCGGGAATCCACTGTAGTTTCAGAAAACACCTCCCGTAAAGAATGGAAATTAAGACCAGTGTCTTCGAATAAAATTCCATTTCAACTATCTACAGCCCAGAAAGAAATATTCTCCACTTTGGAAAATGTGCTACAAATAAAAATGTCCTCTACTGATCTTGTGCTGCTTACCCCCAGCTTACCTCCCTGCTGCCCAAAGTGTTCATCTCAGTGCATTGGTCAGCCAAGGAAAGTTTTGTGCTTTTTGAAAAAGCAAATGTTGCATTGTGAAGGTAGGAAATTCCTTGCATTTTCATGTTGAGAATTTTGCAAAAATGCCTTTAACTCACCAATGAATTGGATAGAAGTGACTGTTTACAATGAGGGTTTGTGCTGTGGATGATGGAGGAAGGTTTAAATTAGCTCCTCATCTCAAAAAGTCAAATGCCTGTTCTGATTAATTAAGAGTCCAATTCTCGAATGAATTCACTGAACCAAGTTGCTCACAGAAGCTGGCATGTTTGATGAAGGGTTGCCACTGCATATGATTGATTTGTAACTTACTGGCTAGAGCCAAACAAACCCAGTTTGTTCTAGGTAGAAAGTGCTGAAAACCTTTAAGGCTAGGACTGACACCTAAATCTTTGATCAACTTATTGTTTATTACCCTAGCAATCTTTAGTCGCATTCATAATGCAAACTGAATGGATTCCAATCCACAATTTAAGTTCATTTCTATTCATAAATGTCCTTCCTATTATTTTTTTTAATAACAATTCAATAATGGTTTGTGATATTCTCAAATGTATGTTTTGTTCTAGTATTATACTATACTTGTGTTGACGAAGCCTGTGATG